GTGCGCTGTGTGTGCAATGTACAAGTAATGAAAAGCAGAAATGTAAATCAAGAGGACAGAAAGTACCTCCCAGGCTCTCCAGTAGCCGCCAAGCAAATCGCCCCGCCCGCGGGAGGTCGCGCTCATATAAAAGTAAAGGGTAGCCAAGCCAGCGCCACCCCAGTCATATCGACGGACCTGTGATAGGTCGACTAGAGCGCTCAGCAAATAAAGCCCAACTGTGTTCCCTCTGTCGGCGAATAGGGTAGTCCCGAAGAGGAACATCAGGAAACCACGGGCATACTGCTCTGTCTCCTCGGGACTCTCAGGCACCATCTCCGCCCGCCGGAAATGGGAGGAGAACCAAGTGTATCGGACTCTCCCAGAGACCCTGTCAACGGGTGGACGAGCCCCCAGTAGATACATCCAGGCGGCCTCCCACTCGCCCATATCCTCATCATAGGGGATGGCCCAACCTCTGACGTCAAGGCCAGTCAACACAGCGAAGTCGAGGGGCGTCATGGTCATATCCCCGGTAGCAGAGAAATGAAAGGAATTGGTGGTGTCCCACCATCTCTCTACCAAAGCTGCCATCAATGTCCTCCTGGCAGGACAACGTGACAACCCGATGCAGAAGGGCCCAAATCCTGCCAAATCTACCAAATCTCGGACACCCTCCGGCAGCTCGGCATACCAATCCCGCGCCATGGTCGAACCATATCCCCGCACACTGCGGGAACCACCCTGCATTCAGAATGAATACATGGGTCAATAATGAAATGAAATGGGCTGTGTGCCAATGAGATGAAATGGGCTGTGTGCCAATGAGATGAAATGGGCTGTGTGCCAATGAGATGAAATGGGCTGTGTGCCAATGAGATGAAATGGGCTGTGTGCCAATGAGATGAAATGGGCTGTGTGCCAATGAGATGAAATGGGCTGTGTGCCAATGAGATGAAATGGGCTGTGTGCCAATGAGATGAAATGGGCTGTATGCCAATGAAGTGAAATAAGCAAGGAATCGTTAAGGTCATTTCTTTACTGACGTAATTTTAGCGATACACACACTATATCAGGTTTAAGCACTTCATTATTAGTGGCCCTTCCTTCCTCTTAAGGAGAGACATCCATGAAAGGAAAAGTAGCCGGTCACTCAAGGAGGGCATTATGGCTTTGACTTCCTCTTCGAAAAGCATCCCCGCTGCGTGTTCACTATCTACTTGGGCTGCGTGTTCAGAAAATTTGAAGTTTGGGCTGCGTGTTCAACTTTCAACTAGTGTGGGCTGCGTGTTCACTATCTATCTGGGCTGCGTGTTTAGAAAATTTGAAATTTGGGCTGCGTGTTCAACTTTCAGTTTAAATTGTGGGCTGCGTGTTCACTATCTACCTGGGCTGCGTGTTCAGAAAATTTGAAATTTGGGCTGCGTGTTCAACTTTTAGTTAAATTATGGGCTGCGTGTTCACTATCTATCTGGGCTGCGTGTTCAGAAAATTTACATTGTGGGCTGCGTGTTCACTATTTATCTGGGTTGTGTGCTCGGCAAATCAGTGTTAGAGCCGTGTGTTCTAATGTGTACTGTGTGTTCGCAATTAATTAATGAGCCAAACGTTCAGAAATTCAAGTGTTGAAACTACATGTTCAAGATGTAAGCAAAGTACTATGTCATAAGCTAAACTGCATGTTCAAGCATGGCAAGGGTGCGGAATGTAAAATACAGAAGATGAGGTAAATACCTCTCGGGCCTCATGAGAGAGATGCTGCTCCGGCTCTCTGAGAAGCAGATCCACTGGTGCTCGCTCGTCAAAGCTGGTGAAGTGACGGAAGACAGCACGTGGAAGAACGTGTGCTGGCGGACGGTACCTCCCGGGAATGAAAGGTCGGGTCCTCGGAGGTAGAGTCATAGGATCGAAATCATCGCCGGCACCTGGAAAACCTCCATCGTGGGGAGAATTACCCGCCATTTTCAAAGGATCTGCAAAAAGGAGCAAAAATGAGCAAAATAGGCCAAAATTGGAAAAAGTCAACAAAAGTCAACTCTCGGGAAATAAAAAGTCAACAAAAGTCAACCCCCGAGAAAATATTCCAAATATTGAGACAAACTTACCTCAAGTGGTGAAAATGCAAAAAGAAGCTCCGAAGCCGGGATTTAATCGCTTCAAAGTGCTTGAAACTGAGTGTTTTTGCGAAAACAATTTGCGCGGGGCGTTGGAAAACGCGCGTGAAACTCAAAACTAGAGAGGAAAGTGTTGTAGAAGGCAAGAAAAAGGGGAAGTCTCGGCTGCCTTTTATAGGCCTCAAGCCTTGGTTGAAGAAGCATGCAAAAAGGAGGGAAAAAGACCAAAATAGCCCCGGATAAAGCACATGGCCGGCCGGCCCCTTTTTCTAGCCGGCCAGCTATCTGCTTTTTGCAGAAATGGCCGGCCAGCCATTAACTTTATTGGAAACCGGTTGGCCACCTCCCCTTGGGAAGATAAATGGCCAGCCATGTTCCCCACATGCCCACCTAGCTCTCTGCAAATTTTGAGGAAGATCGGAGTTCCCGAGACCTGAAAAAGTTCAAGAAAAGTACACTTCCGGTCGCGAAATTGCTCCGTCGGGACTTCAGCTTCAAGTTCTGACATATGTCTCATCATCACTCATCAAAATCAAAGTGTATCCTTTTTAAATGAGTTGTAACCTTTTAGGGAAGTGGATCGGAGGCCGCGATTGAGTTACCTTCGCTGAAACACGCGTTTTCGTACTCGTTGTTTCATGACAAATGAACACCCTGATTTATGCTCGTTTTGTACTATCATGCACATTATCTTGCATTCTCACGAGCATACTTACCTTGTCATGAACATTTCTTGATATTGGCATACCTCTGTGTTTGAGCATGCGTTGTCACACATGTTCCATTCTTGCATTGCGATGCGTTCACTCACCGGCATTGCGTATGTCGAACTTTCGGAATCACATCAAATATATGTTGTTAGCATATTGTACTTGTTGCAATTTCTCTCTTTTGCAGGCACGATATTGTATGTACGGTTCAATTGAGGCTGGTGCGACCAGACGAATCGCGCAGGTATCGTATCTTCTCCGTGTGAGACGTGGCGGGGATTGAAGAAGTGGGTGAAAGCTCAGTCCTA